TATATATATCATATATCATAACACAATATGCAAAATAGCAAAAGGCATATCAAATTCGGCCAGACACACTTACACACACACACACATACACGCACACACTTACATTGGTTTAGTTAAAGGGGAGGCTGAGATGATTGGGTTTATTGACACTGATCACTGAATCTGAACAATAAGACACTTTAACACGTTGTTGCAGTTGCTCTTGTTGTATGTCGCAGTTGTTGTTGTAGCTGCTGCGCTCGCATTACAAGATTTTACGCGCAGGAGAAGCATTCGCGGCGCTCAAATATCAGACGAATCGCAGAAACGATCCTACTCCGACAGCGTGATACGACTGACTGACCGATTCCCCACGTATGACAACGTCGGCGACAGAGGCAACGGCGACGGCGACGGCGGCTGCGACGGCGCTACCTGAACGCTGAACGCTACGAGCGAACCAACCAACACGCACACATACACACAGACACATATACAACGGCAAGCGAAGACAGACGGCAGCGTTGCGTCGGCCAGTTGGACCAGCACACACACACACAGCAATCACACTCATACATACACACACTCACACATGCGCGCATATCAGTTCAAAATGGTTGGAATCTCTGCCAGGCTGTCGCGTATTCTGACATGCGCAGCGGCCGGACAGGACGTTACAAGCAGCGCAGCGCAGCGCCGCATTAAAAAATAGTTTTCATTGATTCGCGCGCTCGATCGTACTATGAAGGAAGAACGGCCACAGTGGGCCGGAAGTGTGCACTTAACTTTTGTCGCCTTTGGCTTAGCCTCATGTTGTTGCTCTTGTTGTTGTTTGTGCCAAGTCGCGCAATTTCCCAGCACTTGTTGCGCTTTAATTATGCCAGAGGTTTTTCATTAGCTACCTTATATTTCGTAGTTGTTGTTGCTTTTGCATGCAATTGAAAAAAAAAAAAAAAAAAAAAAAAAAGCAGCACAGCACAGCGGGCATCGAACATGCAACATGCAACTCGAACCGGCTAGCTGGCTGCAAGCTAAGCGCAAGCAAGCCAGATTTATACGCAGTTAACGTGCGTGCGAGCGAGCGCAATATACAAATCACACAGGCACACGCACACACACTCACTTACACACTCACACATGCGCGCATACGCAAGCACAAACGAAACGAACTGCTGCTGATCGTGTATAACAAGTTGGGTGTATAACAGTTGCGCGAATGCAAACTGAGCGACGGCTGCTGTTGTTGTTATTGCTAGCCTGCCTGCCTGCCTGCTTGTTGTTGTTGTTGCTGTCGTCTCATTGCTTTTGCGTCAATAGAACCACGACGAACGACGAACGACAGCGGCAACAACAACAACAGCAAACGACGTTGATTCGTATTGGCTGCAGCCCACAAATACTCATTGCTCACACACACACACGCACACAGCGGGCCAGACCAATTGCAGGTCTTAGAGCAGCGACAAAAACAAACAACAACAACCACATAGCGCACTCGCATGTTAATTGAGATAAAGTAGAGCGAGCGCGAGTGCGAGTGCGAGTACTCGCAGGATGTGAGCGTCGCTGGCGCTGTCGTTGGCGTAGCAGCTGCTGCTGCGCCTCAAATATGTTACTAATTTCTAATTGGATTTCGCTGTTACAGTTTGCCTAACTCTTCTTCGTATTAATTTCTTTCTTTTATTTTATTTTTTGCGTTTTGCGTGCGTGTCCATTAAAGCGTTAAATACGTAAAGCTTTTGATTACGATTTCTTGAATAGTTTTTGTTTTTGTGTGTTTTTGTTTGCCTACCTTCTGCGTTATGACTGAACCGTTCGCTGAGGCGCCCAGGCTGCCATTCTTGGCTGGATCCTTGCTCAAGTCTTCGGGCTCACGTTTGATGCTCAGCAGCTGCTGCTGTTGCTGCTGCTGCTGCTGCTGCACAGCAGCGGAGACGATCGAGCCCGCGCTCCCCACTCCTGCCGTCGTTATGGTCACAATGTCGCTGGGATGAGGCGGCTGCTGCTGCTGCTGTTGATGCTGCTGCTGTTGTTGCTGCTGCTGTTGTTGTTGCTGTTGCTGTTGCTGTTGCTGTTGCTGCTGTTGCTGTTGTTGATGCGAGATTGTTGTTGTGGAGACAACGCCGGTTGTGGCGGACGACGATGAGGGGTGTGAACCAAGCAGAAAGCCTTGAATTTCATTTTGCGATAGGCCAGAGACATCGATAGGTGTGGTCTGGCCATTCAGTTTGCCGGCGCTGCTCGCATTGCTGCAAAAAAAGATCATAAGACGAAGGAAATGGCAGAGCAACAGAGATAGCAATTGATAGAAATAAGAGAGAAGACATATAACGATAGAGAGAGAGAGAGAGAGAGAGTGACAAGGAGAGGGAGAGAGGAAGATAGAGAGCATGGCATGAGTAAACAAATTTACATTTCAATTTGCCTAAATTAAATGCTTAATTACTTAATTAATTATAATTAACCTGGCATTATCAACAATTATGCTTAAATACTTAATTACTAATGCCCACCCACACACACACACACACACACACACACAGAGAGAGACATACACTGTCCACCTAACGGTACTCCAATCAATTGGCAAATCCCAATCAGAAAACTGACAATCAAAAGTGCGCAAAATATGCAGAAATTGCAAATTTTCAATTGCTAATCCGTTGGCTGCGCCTAATTTGCCAGCCAGCCAACAACTACATACACCTGTAGCTGCAGCTGAAGCTGCGACCTGTTACCAACTGGCCAATCGACTCAAATACACACACACACACACACGCACACAGACACACACCCAAGCATACACGCACACACACTGAGCCGAATAGGAGCAACGACAACTGAAAAACCAAACCAGATTCCAGCTGCAGCGCGTCCAGCAAAGGAAAAAAAAAATACAAATGAAAATAAAAATAAAATAAAAACCAGTCGACAAATATATATATAGATATAACTGCACAATAAAAACAAATTGCATTCAATGAAAATAATCAAGAGCTGTTTTTTCGCGGGGTAAAAGGCCTAAATCTCTCGCCCTCTTCTCCTGTCTCCCGTCTCTCCACTCTTTCGCTGCTTCTTTCGATGACAAACAGAATTGAATCATATAATTTTATACTACTTCTTCTTCTTCATCATTATTATTGTCAAGGTCACCGCCGTCGAGAGCTTTACCAAAGTTGGTCAAGAATTTTGAGTCACATTTTAAGCCAAAAAAAATCTTTCGGGAATTTCGGCTCGAATTAAAAGCAAAGAGAACTTGTTCCAATTGACAGCTGAGTGATTTTTTGTCTTTTGTTTTTGTTTTTATTTAAATTTAATTTTTATTATGACGTCAATGGTTTTTGAAAATAAACAAAATGTACATTTAGAATTTTGGTCAGCCTAAATCGTAAATGTTTTCAATTAACTCGATTGTGATGCTAAAAAGTTGTTTTTTTATGAGCCGATACTTTTAATGGCATAGTACTATAAATATATATTTATTTTAGATATATTTATTTATTT